TTTTAAACTTTTAATAAAATCATATTCACTGGGTATAGTATTATATTCGTTAGCTGAATTGGACAATCCCAGTCTAAAAATAGCTTGAAACTTATATTCAATGACGATATATCGTAGACTGTTCATTAAGCGTGTTTATTAAAAAAACAAGTCTTGCGTTTTGTTCTGTATACTATATTAAATTATATACTCGATTAAAATATCATTACTTAACTGTTATAGTTAAAAGTTACATCGCAATGATGAGTATAAACTTGATACTTTTATATGCGCAGCGTTCGCGTAGTTGTTACACGCCTTACACGTGCGTCTTTTTCTCGCGCTTCAACGAAGCAAAAGTTGTACATGTATAAAATTGTACTTTCTGTGATTTTTAACTTCTTATAGGCTATTCATATAATAAAACAATCATTGACTAGTGTGTCATTGAATACGATGTGATATTCACCGGCAGAAAGACATATTGACCGAGGCGATATGTCATCTGCCGGTGAATATAACACCATATTCAATTGCAAACTAGTCAATAGTTGACTTATATATTTCACGAACTGTGCATATATCTTTAATTTATAGCACATGTGTCTAAAATTAGCCATGCCCCGGTTGTAGTGCGTTTTCCTTATGTCTATTATTAAAATATCTTTATTTCCTCCAAAAGAAGAGTACATTTTTTTATAATTATACAATTTTAATGGAACAAGTAACCTATTTAATTACAATGTTGCGTCAAAATTGGCCACGGCCTAGATATAAAGACTTGCATAGACTTATATATGCATTACAGAGCACTTTATTCTCCCTATGTTTGTCACGTTTTTGCGCCAAGTCCTTAGGTGACCCTCTCTGCACAAGTTGAATAATGTGATTCATAAATGGGTCACAACTGACATTACAGCTATGAAAAGCTTTAAAATGTATTTTTACAATCTTCCTTTTAAAAATATAATTGCCAAGAGCATAGATATTTTACATGTACCATAGCCCTGTGGTCCTTTACAAAATGTATATAAATCATGACCTAGGGATCAAAAGTGGGCTCGCCATGGGGTCACTTAGTTTATAAAGACTTGCAGAGTAAGAAACATATTAAGTCTTCTTCTGTGGAGATCTCGATATGTAGAATTTTCTCGTTAATGACCTCAATTCTTTGTATAAATTATGCAGTTGGGTCATAGAATGGCCTACCAAATTTTATTTCTTCATTTAGGAATTGTGACCCTTTTCTAGTAATGTATTTCAGATAAGTGATCCAGTGCAACCATGGTCCTCTTGTTTCCATGAGACGGCGGTTGATAAATCCCTGGACTCCAACCACAGTTGTGTCACGTGACTGTGTATATTAAAAGATATTTTCTATTTTAACCGGTTACTATTACTGCTTTAATAATGCAGTGCATTAAACAAAAGAACAAAATAAACATGTTTTAGTTGCAATTTTAACGGGTTTTTTTTTCATGAATAAATAGTTAAGTTATAACAAAAATTCACATAAAACCAAACAGGCCAGTATTTCTTTTTCAGTTTACCTATCTTGAAACATGCTTCACAATATCGTATGGTTAAATTAATAACGTAGCAATATTTTGAATATTTTGCAGACTGTATTTAATGTGCATAATAATCAGAATGATAACCTTTTTTAAAAAATGATAACAGATAGTCAGGATAATCTTATATTTGTACTTTGATTTCTACCCGAGTGAGTATGAATTGATAAAATCTGATACGACACACAATTCAGCAATCTTTAGTCTGTCAAATAATGAGCAGTTCGTTATAAGTGTAGCAAGGCTTTGTGGATGCTATTCAAACTGGTAAATAGTATTTCATTCATTGCTTGCTTGATTTCCAAAAACAAAACATAATTTGTAGTCCCTTTTGCATATGCGTGAATATGTGAAAGGTCGTCAGAATGAACGTGTCAAATGTGCTTAGCTTACGCCTCATTTTTGTCGTGTCTTTGGATTTGAAGTTCGCGATTTGATTTTGCTTTTTGGTATTATTGTTTTCATTTTGTTTTCATTTTAAAAATAAGAACACTGAAAAGGGATAAATGTTTTCAATTTCTATTACAATATAATTATGTTGTAATTGGTCTTACTTGTTATACGTGTTGACGATTCCTTTTTCAGGAACACATCTGCAATGTAAGCTAAGTTTTCCTGGTATAAATTAAAACACAAAATGCAATATGATTTGTGCATCTATCTCTTATAATAAGTAAGCCTGTTTAATTTAATTTTAATACAGAAATATCAACAACAACAACACGTTGAATTAGGTTGTATTAAATCATAAACGTTTCGGCCCAGGCCTTCATCAGGATAAATATGTTAAGTTTAATTTAAGAAATAGTTGTGAAGATGGCGTTTTAATTGGTTTATATAATATAATCTCCTCAATGTTTTACTGTATGTTTTTCATTTTTTAAATCACTTTTATTACAAGCACTTTATGCAATACAAAAATGATACATCAGTATAAAATATAGGCGTTGTTACGCTGATAGAAAACACAACATTCGTTTTGATAGGGTAGTTGGTTTTATTACAGGATGCTTTATTTGCATTTCCATTCTACGTAATAGTTTCCGGTTAAGACATATACCGTCTTTATTAATATCTAATAAAGATCTGGTTCCGATCCAATTACCATAGAATTGGTATTTTCTGATTTTATTTTGTGTAGCCTACACGTAGGTTGTCTGAATTACGTGTTTTTATCGACATACGTGTCTATAAGTGTGTTGCATTAAATGTCATATCATTAACCTAGCCAATGAAGAATAAAGGGCCTAGTTTTAAAACATGGGGTATCCTGATGTTTTATTTTTTTATTTGAATGATTATTTTCATATCTGATAAGCTCTATCCCATCTTCAAAAAGTTGTATAATTTTAATCTATATAACAATATGCCATGATCAAATTACATGCATATTTATGTCTGAAAATACTGTGCCAACTAAACAATAATCATTTTTGACCTTAGGGAAGGATTCTGTAGGTCATATTAGAGCTTTTTAAGGAATGTTCTTTTCTGATTCTGACTGATTTTCATTTGTGACAATAATTTTATTTAGTTCATGTTTTTCTGTGGATTACTGATTATTGGGTCCATGAAAGTTATATTTATCAATTTATTTGATAATAATCAAAATATATGTCCCTTTTAATCAATGAAAAGAGCAAAGAGCAAAGTGAAAAATTTAAATTTCAAATGTAATTAGAAAGAAAAAAAACTCAATTCATCCAATATATGGATAACCAAATTCAGCTCTATGAATTCACCTCTACTTTTCTATTTCGTTCATAACAGACACTTTCTTCATCACGCAAAACTGATACTCTCGCTAATTTGGGAATAAGACGATATTCTCTACGAGCAATAACTATAAAAAGTATAAATTCAACCCAAAGGATTAGTAAATAACACAGCTTTCGTAGGACAGTCTTTCAAAATATTCCAAGTTTTCCAACTTCCTTATCTACAGATGAATTTTCTTTCTTATGACTGATGTAAAATTATGAAATCCAATTGAAATCTTTCCGAATCAAACACATGTTTTTCATACCTTGCAATATCTTCTTCCGCTTTATAACAGAATAAGGCTCGGCATATCTTCCAGAAATGTTCATCTAAATGATAAAAAGAAGCAATCATTCATATTTTTTGTTAAAAATAGATCATTTCATTGCCTTTTAACGTTGATTTGAGAACATATTTTCCAGCTCAAGACTTCCTGTATTACTGATATATTCATCTGAAACCGATGCTACCAGTGGCGATAACAGATTTTAACCTCATATGGTCATAAATGGCTCAACATGATGGTCGCTTAGCTTAGACTTTCATAGTAAAAAAAACATTGAAGCAGGTTGCCTTGTGAAATATCTAAATGACAAGAGCATAGATATTTGCTAAGAAGCATTTGTAAGAAGATATGTATAAATATTTAATGGAAAAAAACAGCATAAAGAAGAAATTGACAAAAGAGTAAAAAACATGACTTCAATACTACATTTTCCATTTTCAAGCATAAATCTCAGTAGAATGAGCCACAATGATCCTTTTGTAATTTTTCAATGTACCTGGATATTCCTGTAACTACGCTTTTCTTAATCTGTGCCTTTCTTATCAGATTATATTGTTTCGCTAAAAAGTAAAAATCATTTTTCAATATAAGGTAACTTGGTGACTTGTAGGTCAATTGGGCTGGATGTAATGCTGTAACTTTGAATTCACATGTATCACATCATTGATTTTACATATGACATAAATAGTTTATTTTCTTATCTTATTTTACTTAACTTATATTTTATTGTCTTATCTTTTATTTTTCTTGTCTTATTTTATATGAGTGTCATATGTTCTATTATCTACGGATAAGTCCTGTATAATTACCTAATAACCTGGTAGCGTCTTTTAAGTGAGAGATTGTAGCACCTCATTAGGTTCTAGGTTATAGGTAAAGTATCGGAAAAATGTAGGGTATAGAAAGTTATCGGTCCTATCCGTTGTGTGTTCATGAAGCGGCCTCAAGCTTGCATATTATAATACTTATAAAAACATGTCTAAGCTGGTATGTCTACCCAATTTCTCATATTGTTATTATGTTATCAACCTTAAACAGAATATCACAATATTCCTCTGACAAGTAAAATGCGAAAAGATTATAACTTGTACATAATTTAATTATAAATCGCTATCAATTATGTATAAGTTATAACATATTCTATTTTTTGTTATTTTTTGTTTACAAATAGATCTGCTGAAAGCAGGCTAGAATAGAGCTTCATTTAAATAGTTCTCTCAAAAATTAAATGCACGAACAACAAGAATTTTATGAATGTCCGTTAAATTTGTTGTCGGCCTGTAGCCATACATAGTCGTAGTGCAAAACAACCATGATTTGTATCAAATGTGATTTGAATCTATTGAAATTTTCAAAAGCACAACATTATCTAGAAACATAGATATTTTATCATTTACAGAAATATGGCCTGCTCTAAGATAGACGTAGAAGAAAATAAGCAGTCCAGTTCTAAGCATCTAATTGTGGCTGCCATCGACTTTGGAACAACGTACACAGGATTTGCTTACTCATTTAAAAGTGACCCGAAACAATTTATGACAAGCAAATGGACTGGTGAAAATGTAAGAACAGCTACGGAAAAAGCACCAACATGTGTTCTACTTTCACCCGACAAAAGTTTCATTGCCTTTGGATATGAAGCAGAGGAAAAGTACAAAGAATTGCTCGAAGAGGATATCGAGAGTGGCGAAACAAGTCATGCTGAAGAATATTTCTATTTTGAACGGTTTAAGATGAAGCTTTATCAGACAAAGGTTTTCAAATTTTAAACTTCGCATATTGCTGACAACATTTTTTTCTTGATGATACTGAATGTTACCTGTATGACAACAAACGTTTATGAAAGTCTCGTTCAGGAACAGATTTTTTGTTCTTTATATGGGCAAAAAATGTGGGTTTTTTAATGTTGTGATTATTGATTCAGAAAATGTCGCATGCTTATTTCCTAAAACAAAATAGCGTTGAATGTAAAACTCATAGTTTAAACACATAAGTTTTTTTATTTCCATGACAAAGATAACATTTTCATCCCCCGAAGATGGAATCGGAAAGGGGATATTATTTTGGCGTTGTCCGACCGTCCGTCCGAACTTTGTTTCCAGGCTATTTTTCTGAAACTATTTGCTGGATTTCAACGAAACGTCATATAATACAAGAGGAGATGTACATATTTTAGACTTGTTTGGGTCAGCCCTCAACGCAGATGTATGGCCCTTTATTAATTATGCAGTATGCATATGGAGCAATAATCGTTTTCCTGCTATTTTACCTCCACTGCTGACTGGAATTCAAAGAAACTTTATTGAAACCACCAATACGCATATCGTCACCATGTTTAGATCAGACCTTTCAAGACAGAGTTATGACACTTGATTAGCTATGCAGTATGCATTTAGAGTAATAATTGTTTCTGTGCTTTTTCCCTGCAACTGCTCGCTTTATTTTATATGAACTTTTTAGAAACAATTAATACCAATAAGAGATGCGCATATAGTTATCTTGTTTCGGACAGACAAGTTGATTAGATATGTAGTATGCATATAGAGCAATAATCGTTTCTTTGCTATTTCTCCGCAACTGCTAGCTGGAATTCAATGAAACTTTATTGGGATAACCAAAGTCAAGGGGAGATGCGCATATTGTTGCCTTGTTCCGGCACTTTAAGTTTAAAGCCGTCATCTTTAGACATTGTTTGCTCTAACCTGTTTTGAACAATGTCTACGACAATAATGTAACGACAATGACTTTTTAAAACTACGATATGAAGCCGTAAAAGTAAATCGTAGATTACGCAGAAAAATAAATATTTAGCTATATTTTTTTTAGAATGTGGAAAGTGGCAAAACTACTTATGGTAACATTTAAGAACGATATTTTTATTCCCTATTTATGAAAAACATTTTTGTATTATAATTGTCTTTCAGTGTAATGATCAATAAATATCTGTTTTATTGATGAGCTCTTATACTTCAGATTTGGTTGAATAATTCAATTCTAAATTAGTACATGTAGTTAAATAGAAAGATTTTATAAATCAGAATATGTTTTAATGAAACATTACATTTTCAGAATCTGAAATTGGATACGAAAATTTCTGATGTACAGGGGAAAGAGCTCCCAGCTCTTTACGTTTTCACAGTTGTCATTAACCATATTAAAGAGAACGTTTATGAACAAATTAAGAAAACGTTTTCCGGATTCAACGAAGATAGCGATATTCAATGGATTTTAACTGTCCCTGCGATATGGTCCGATTCTGCAAAACAGTTCATGAGGAAAGCCGCGAATGAGGTAAAAAAAAGTCAATAAGAAATGTTGTTGTTGAAAGGAAACATGCCGGGTAAACATCTTTGTTTTGAAATTAAAACATTTTATGTAAAACAAGTGCTTTGCTTGTATAGCAGGGTAAAAGATAAAGAATAACATCACCATTTAAATAACTTAAAATTTAATGTTTTAAAGCCTTTTATTTTGTATAAATTTAAGGCTGGACTTGGAAATGTGAGACTGGTTTTGGAACCAGAGGCTGCATCTCTTTATTGCTATGAAGAAAATGTATGCAAAATAGCAAAAGCTGATGGATCAATTGTCATAGACAAGTTTCCAGAAGGCATGAAATACATAGTTGCTGATTTAGGAGGTAATTTTCACTATATCTTTGAACATTTCCAGTCTAAATAAACAGTAATTTACAACTAAGTTTCAATTTTTATTCTGTTAGATTGTAAGAATTTTAGTTCGAAATGTTTTTATTTTTTAATGATACGATATTGATACCAAGTTGATATCTAATTTTGTATTTGTGTAGGTGGAACAGCTGATCTTTCTGTTCATGAAATTTTATCGGATAGAAATCTTAGAGAAATCTACAGGGCCGATGGAGACGCTTTTGGTGGTATGATGGTTGATTTAGAATTTTTGAAGTTCTTTGAAGATATCTTTGGATCAAATGTTATTCGCTTATTTTCAAAAAGATATCACAATCTTTTGATGGACATTCAATTAGCCTTTGAAACTAAGAAAAGGACATTTGACTCTGATTTGACGAAAATAAGGCTCCCTATAAGCGAATTAAATGAAGTAATAAATGAGATTGAAGGGCAAGACGTGGCAACAATGATTGAGAAAGCTTCCAAAATAAGTGGTTTTGAGTCTCTTATTTTAAAATCAGATAAATTATGTTTTGGAAGATCTATTATTGAAGGATGTTTTGAAAACGCGATAGAAGGGATCATAAAGCTTATCAATAAAATAACAGAAAATGATGAACTGGGAGGAATAAATAATTTGCTTTTGGTAGGCGGCTTTTCCGAGTCTGGATATGTCCAAAAAAATATCGAGAAAAAAATTATGGGGGTGAAAGTAATCATTCCATTAGAACCATCCCTTGCTGTACTTAAAGGAGCTGTAACTGCAGGACACAATCCAAAAGCTATTACAGAGCGAATCGCCAGATATACCTACGGGTTTTCATTTGCAAGGCCATTTAAAAATGGCGAAGACCCGGAGGAATTAAAAGTTGTTCGAAATGGAAAGGATTATTGCACCAGCGTCTTTGATAAGAAAATAACGAAAGGTGACGTACTTAAAGTTGGAGATCATTTTGGTACACCTTGTGCTCACACTTTGGACAACACGGGCATCCTTCAATTTTTAATGAAAATGTTTCCTCTTTTTGCTGATGTCTATAGGTCCGATAAGAAAGATCCAAAATACACAGGGGAAAAGTACAAATGCGAACTTGTTGGTATGGTAATGATTCCACCACCACCTTCTGGTTGGCCCTCTTTGTCGATTCTTATACAAGAACTTGTGGTTGGGGAGGCAGAGTTTACTGTTCGCGCAATCAATCTGAACACCATGACGTGTACTGAAGGACAACTTGATTTTCTACATTCAATTTCCAGGCACTAACATTATTATTATTTTCTGCTTTTAAAGATAAAATTGCAAACAGTGTCAATGACTTATTCATAATACATACAGTATGTTAATATCGAGGCTTCTGTTTCCTAGCATAAGTTACACATTACTTTAAATGCAAATGACGGCACTGTATATATTTTTTTAAGAGAAAATCAGTTTTGCATGGAGAATTGACACTTTCTTTAAATTGACTTTAATAACAAGAATAAAGATCAACAAGGCAAAGGCAAGGTTCACAGGACGCTGCCACTTGTCTTATTGTCTGCCACTTGCTAGTTAAAATATTGTATAAGGTGTTGACAAGGTATTTGTTTGCCATTCCAAACTATATGTTTTTTAATCATTTTGATCAGTTCAGGGTTACGCATACTGTGTATTTACATTGTTATATGATATAAAAGTTCGTTTCAAAAATAAAATTCCCTTCTGTAACAAAAATTGATTATACAGATTCTGAAATATAAATCAATAATAAATAGACAATGCATGAATGTACAGTACCTGATCAAGTGATATTATAAACAAAAAAGGAACAAAATACCCAACAAAAATGAACATGTTTATTACAAAATGAATGCAATATGTGTACTATGTTACAAATTTATTTGAGTGATTTGATTGATATATGTGGAGTGATTTGATTGATATATATCAACATTATTTTAGGATTCTAATGTTTGTACAATGACACTTGTTAACTTTCAACTAAAGAACCCGGAGTTACTTTAGTCCTTGTAATTTATCCGATTGACCATCAAAGAAATATAAAATTGATTGATTGAATTTTGTATTGTTTTTTATTTATCAGTTTAGATATTATTGATTACATAAAATTGCTTTTGATGATAAATAAATGGATAAAAAAGAAACATTAAATTACGACAAAAATCGTTTTATTGTAAGTATTGCGCGTTCAGTTTGACTTTGCCTGTCCATTGGCGGTAGATGTAGGTGCAAGCTTCTGTCCGAACATCCTACTTTTAAGCATGGTAATTTGAATGAGACACCTTCATGTAGTTCAATAAAAAGCCTTCACATTGATAACCACCATGTGACTAAAATTAGTGTTACATGCAATTTTGGGACGTAAAGAAAGAATCTTAAAAGAACGCCCAAAACAAAATGAAAATGTTACACGCTCGCTTTGAATGAGCTTGATTATGGATGGTACATGTATTTTAAAACGTAAAATACTGTCAATGCCCCACCCTCTCCCCCTAGATCTGACCTGAGCAAAATTCAACATTCAAAAACGATACAGTGTTTATTATGCAAACTTCAATGTTACACTTTCGTGCCATTCCATGCAAAGTGAGTAGCGTATAGTCCCCTAGAAAGGAAAATCTGTGCCCATTAATGAAGAGAAACAATAGTCGGACCTAAACGGCATTTATTTGGAAAGAGAATTCTGGGGTTATGAATTATTAAGACTGTAATCCACAGAAAAAGACGTTAACAACAATTATTAAAAGCAGGCAACATATTCTTAACTATAAAGGGTGAATAATACAGTATATAAGAAGGGGAAAATGGACCCTTTTTTCACGTTGAAAATCAAAACTGGGAATGAAACTAAATAACCACAAACATGTTTACACCTCAATAAATATCGTGCTCAACGATCTTCAAGGATAAAATATAAACAACGTGGCAGTAAAAAAAAGAGGAAAAAAATGAATCCATAAAGAACGCCATGAGCCTGATCAAGCGCAAGTCGTCGTTTTAAAAAAAAAATGCAAATACATTTTTAGAACCTCTTTTTCGGGGAAACTGGGAAACAAGTTACTAGTTTAGGGGGTTTGCGGGGCCGCCCTCCCCGTTTAAGTTGCCTTTGCCTTTTTGATCTTTTTTTCTTGATTTTTACCAAGTTTAAAAATTTGGGAAACCAAAAAGGGTTTCTTTTCGAAACCTTATGAATATAGGTTTCCGTCTATGTTAGCCTGTATCAGATATAAAAAAAACTTTCATTGCAACAAATCGAATAAAGTCTATATATATTAAACTATTGTTGATATTTGATAACTATGAAATTTAAATTAAATACTTTTAAACAAATATAAACGTGTGTCCCGTAATAAATGTCTTTAGTCGCTTTCTAAATAATATTTTCAACAACGCTAAACAATTGTGCATTTATTCAAAGGCAGTTAATCTTTGAAAAAATATCAAAGTAAGCAATGTTGCCATATTTTTGTTTTAGTTGAATTAATTTGAAATATTTACGTTTACCTTCTTTGTTTAAAATTCATTCGTGGAAAGCTATTTCGTTGTTTTAACGAGAACTTGTTGAAATCAAACCTATTCTACTCGGTTTCCATGGACTATTTCATTTATACAGCAACAGGAATGATTTTGTCATCAACGCCAGAAAATGACTTTCCGACTCTGTGGTAGATGTAACCCAAAATAAAAGCACGACCATGGCAGCTTATTTTGTGGATATTGCAAAGTAAAAGAAGAAATTATTGTATCAAAGTTGTCATCAACAGCGAAGGATAATAGACATATACCAGCCAGGATAATTCAAGTTCTAAAGTAACTTCATCTTTATGCAATATGTATCTTATTATATACCATCAATTTTCAAACGCAGACAAGCAAAAATGACAAAAAAGATGTTAGGGTCAATGGTTGATAGAAACTGATTGATTTGAAAACAGTCAGTTGACATGTGAATACAAATTCCTCAAATTTACTTATTTCTGTTGAACTCTCAGATTTCTAATTTCGGTGTAGTACTTTCTTTAAGACATCACAATGTCATTGTTTCCACTGCCAAATGGGCTTACAAAACCTGTGTGTCAAAGAAAAGAATAATCTTTAAGACTTGTCCAGCTGCAAGTGAAAATTTGGGCTATTAACAATTCCGAAGTAAGGTATGGAGGGGGATGCCCTCGACCCCCACATACCCATGACGAGGGAAAAAAAAAAAAAAAAACAATTCCGAAGTGTAATACTAGGTTTAAAATCTTCCTACATGGTTAATGAAAAACCTTTTTGCCCATCGAAGAAACAAGCTGCATAGCATGCAATTTTATATTGACTTCACGATTCTCTTCGCGTGATATATAGATGTTCAGTGTCCTATTACCTCAAAGATAGGGATTAGAGTTATAGTTTTGTCAATTTAAAAAATCTCTAATTAATCAATAAATTCCGTCTAAACCTGATAAAAGTTAATGTTGTGAAAACATTTTAGAGTAAACTGATACTTTATTGTAGAGCATAAACAAAATTTTCGAAAATATACCAGTAAATATTTCATAATAAATGCAACAAACCTATAGAAAAGAAATATGAGGGACCGGTAAAAGAAAAAATAAGAAACCTCTATGGATCTTGAAGTTTATAAATCATGTGTCATAACGGCCATATCTTTAGAAAGTAAAGAAAAGCTGTAATGACAACCATCTTAAAACAGCCTCCGGAATAAGTTTGCAAATCCGGAATTTTCGCAAACTCAGCTACCTTTTTTAAATTGATTAGAGAAAAAATATAAAGACCGGTCAATAATAGAGATAGAGTCAAGTAAAACCTGGCCTTTGAAATGACGATACCCTTAAAATTAAATGCAGGGGAGACATTCAAAGTTGGTCGTACCATGGGGTTTTTCGATTCCCCCACTGGGGATTTGGTCTCCCAGTGGGAGTTTCGTCGGGTTTCATTTCCTCTTTACGAGAATGGGAGAAAAAAATCACGGGAGAATTAAAAAAAATTTATATACCATTATTTCAAAAAAAAATCACTAATCTTGACTTAAGATATTCCTTCCTAAAAATATAGATCGAAATATAAATATTTTTAGAATCTCCCATTTTCATTATGGGTGAAACGCACCCATGGGTGAAATCACCCATCTTAATAATGGGAAGAAAATCCTATTTTGATAAATGGGAAAAAAAATCCAATTCCTTATAATGGGAGATAATTCCCATTCCTTGCAAATGGGAGTTTGTTCTATCTTTTAGGTGTGGCGCTTATAACATATAATACAAAATATACGAATAAAATAAAATCCAAAAATCAAATAAAATGGCAGGGAATATGCAACAAAATAATAATAATAATAATAATAGATAAATAAATAAATAAATAATAGATATAATAACAAAAATAATAAAAATAATAATAATTATAATTATAATAATAATTATAATAAGAAATAAAAAGTAATAATAATAATAATAATAATATTATAATAATATTATTATTAATAATGATAATAATAATAGTAATAATAATAAAAAAAAGAATAATAATAGATAAATAATAATTATAATATACATAAATAATAACAATAATAATAATAAAAATAATAATGATAATGATAATAAAAATAATTATAATGAAATTAATTAATAATAATATCGATGATAATAATAATTATGATAATTATGATTAAATAATGCTAACAATAAGAAGTAGAAGAAGAAATAATAATAATTTATAATAATAATAATAATAATAATAATAATAATAATAGTAATAGTAATAAAAAAATAATAATGATAAAAAATAATAATAATAATAATAATTATAATAATTAATAATATTGATGATAATAATATTAATAATAATGATAATAATAATAATAAGAATAAGAAATAATACTTATAATAAATAATAATAATAATAATAATAATAATAATAATAATAATAATTATAACAAAACAGGCATTGTCATTTTATCTTGGAATATGACGGGAATGAATACAGGAAAGTATCATATGTAACGATTTAATCACCAAAATTCATTTAAATATAAAACAATCCAAAATGCTATGATGTACTCTTCGCCGGTCTGCTATCTGTATTTTCTGTCTCATCCAGTCTATTTTGACATTCAAATTCACAAGCTAAATGGCAAGTCTATCCTGGATTTGAAGTATATAACTTATTTGAATTCATTAAATATAAATACCGCGGTAAGGTTTTTTTTCCGAAAACAAACAATATGTTGATCACTTCGTTCCGTTGTAATAATAACC